ATACCGGCTGCATCTACATGCTCATTAATGCACTGTAATTACTGTGCATTAAGTTTAGTATCTGTAAGTATACAGGTACCACCTAAATGCGCGGTAATCAGCGCTACTGCTCATTAGCCACAGCACATGCTTTTTTGGTGATGCTAATTCTACTTTGCATTAGTGCATTAGCACAGGTTTTGCCTCTGTGCTAGTGCGAGGTAGAATTAGTCTACTGAGCTTGAAGCATCTTGTGTAGACATGCCCACTGACTTCTTTGCTGACTCAATTAGTATGCATTCCTCAAAAACAGGCCTTTAGAGGCAAATTGTCAACGCAGAGCCTGAGGCTATAACCATGTAATTTCTATTAATGTTAATGGGAGTTGAGAGTCTAACTCACTGAGCATTATGCAGAAAATTTAACCCCCAGTTCACTTACCCTGCTAATTAATTATAGCTGAATCATGAATGGAGGGAGATATTTTATTAGGATAATTATGTAATTTTTCTTGAGCTACATGAAGTGATTAGTCTTTTCTGTGAGGTACCTTTCTAAAAATATGTCTTGACTCAAAGTTACATGAATCTGGATTTGGGAAAACAAATTATTTGGGCACTGATGACTCTCTCTTGATTGAAAATAAACTTAAAATAACATGTGAAAAAGTATTTCTTTCACAGAAATAAAAATGTCTCAGAGATCAAAAATCCATCTGAGCTCTTTTTAATAGGTTACGTTCAGGTTGGTTAATCATTTCCCCCCCAGTTTACTTTTTTGTGACTCTTGGTATTTTCTGGTTTGAGTTAGGATCAAAGTATAAATATTTCAGGAAAGGCTATGTGTATGATATTTCTGAGCCAAATGAAAGTAAGTAATACTAATAATACTTAATCCTTTTATTGGGGGGTGTAATGTGAGACCTGCTTATCATGGTTATCTTATTTTGAGAGGTGTGGTGGGATTTAAATAATGCAGAGGTCCCAGCAGTGGCCCTCTACCCAAAACTCAAGTTCATTAATACTGCTGAGCATTTTACAATAATCTTAAGAACTTCTATTGTACCTTTTATACAAGGAGTGCAGTGTGTTTTACGTATGTTAATTCAGGGCTGTCCAATTGGCAGCCTGCATGCTCCATTCAGCCTCAAGGGGTTAACTTGCATCTCCCAGCCATTCAGAATTTGGACAGCCCATGGTTACTGATCCATCTCATAGGGCTTTATGGGAATTATTGTTATCCACATTTTATTCAGTTTCCAACACAGGCCCAGACTGACTTTTAAGCCCATGCTCACCCCCACCCCGTGTTCATGTATTGAAGGAGACTGTGCCCTCAGACAAACGAAATGTCAACTTCTGGGCACTCTCTGCTTCCCCACAATCCCACAGAGACCCTTACAGGGTTGGCTAGGGGTGGCGGAAGGGGACTTGAACTCCATAGAACTGGAAGAAGGAAACTGGCTTTGTTTTACCTGCTGACTTTGTGGGAAAAAGTAATGCAAGCGAGTGAAACGTATGCTTACTTTCTCTGCTTTCCCCTCTGGAACCCAGATGGAAATGTGGGCACGTTCAAGGGCAAGGACGATCAGATAGGTCCAGGTGGCAGTGGGGAGGCAAAGGAAGAATTTCTGCCAAGATCTGAGATTCTCAACTGAACCCTGACTTCTTCCTGATAGAGTATGGGCTATGGATGCCTTCTTGAGAGCATATTAAGTTGAAACTGAGTGTTTCCTATCTCAGGATGGGCTTCGTCTTAGGTGGGTGAACATAAGGGGAACATAAGGTCCCAAGTGACTTCCTAGTTGATCTTGAACAGAACTTACACAATGGTAATTAATAAACACCGGCGAGGGAATCTTGGCCCTATTGAAAGCACTAGGAGTTTCTGTCATAAATTTCAATAGGCCAGGATCTCATGCTGAAAAATATTGTAAGAGACACTGTTCTCACTAGTTTTTCTGACAGCTTTCTCAACTGAAATATTTGTATAACTGGACTAGATTCAAATAAACATCCAGATGCTTTCCTGAATGAATTCATGAGCCTTACCAATTGTTATAAAGCTCGCCAGGCTTTGGTATATAACCAGTAAATCAAATAATGTAATAATTATGGATATGATGGTGCTCTGACCTGGAACATATTTACAAGATAAAAAAACCCAGAAAGCACTCTCTGTCCAAATAAAGAATGAGTTCAAGTACATGATGTAAGTGCAAGGTTATCAAAATGAGAGGCAATTTAGATGCATGCCAGCCAACTTCTATTATTATCTTAACAAATTCATATTTTTTCCAGGCACTGTTTTTATTTCTACATTGCCAACAACGTGCCAGGAGACTTTATTTTTTAGTCAGAGTATTCTCCACTGGACTGGGGGGAGGGCGTGTTCCAATCATTCTAAAAAAGAAACATTTCTTTTTGACATATTAAACATTAAGCGGATTATGTAAAAGCAGAGTACTATAGATAGAAATGTAGTTAATGGAGCTTAGACCAGGAACCACAAACCCTCACAAAATTTTGAAGAGTAAAAAACCATATTGCTTTCACGTTTTCTTTTTAAAATCTTCTTGTAAAAAGATTAAAGAGTTCAGTTATTATTATTTACATAAAATTCAACCTCTTTTGCTTAAAACCATGAATCATTTAGTGGCACATCTGCAGTGGCAGACACAGATAATCCAAGTCAGTCTGCAAATTGCAATTGCATTTGGACTAAGTCATCAGTAGCACATATTGTACATGTGTTAAGGCTCGTGACTGTTTAAGTCTCTTGGGTTGATAAACTAAACACAGATTAGCCAGGACTAACTGTATGTCCTCTTTTAGAAAAAAAAATCCTGGCATTTTGGGGATGCAGATTTAGATCAGTAACCATGAAAACCAATGGAAATTTGCATTACAAAAGGTAAACTACTGCACAGTACCAAAGGGGCATTGCTTGTAAATTAATGGCTGCACACATTAGTTTACTAACAATTACTACACATGAGAGGTGATATGACCATTCAATGACATGTCCCCAATGATCAGTGATAGGCACTAATAATATCCTTCATGCTGACTGAACATTTATTCTGATTTTAGATATACAGTATATACAGATGTGTGTGTATGTACACTTAGGGTTTGATCCTGCCCAGTACAGGCAGAGAGTGCTGCAAGTATAGTACAGGCGCAGCAGAAAATCTGCTTCTGCATTTATGAGAACACAGCTATCCTGGGTGCTAAGTTACTTCTAGTTGCCAAAGGAAAGCTCAAAAGAGGAACAAATAACAAGCACCTGTTTTGCATGCAAAGGAATATATAGAAACGTTAAAAATTAGGTTTCCTCAGACATACCCATTGTCTACTAAACCTCGCCACCTTCAAATCTCTTAACATTTTCAGTAAAGATATGGGCATATAAGGAGCTGAGGATTTATTGCTGTACAGCATGGAGGACTATTTTCATATTTCAGTTGTGCTTGAGCCTATGTATACCTCCTTCCTGCTATGTGTATCTGCACTCCCTGCTGCTATAGAAGGACATACAGGATCAAGGCCTAAGAGTGTCTGAATGTCTCATGGACTGGCTGTTGTGACTATTCCATAAAGTAGGGGTTCCCAAACTGTGGTACGCATACCCCTGGGGATACACAAGACATCTCGGGGGGGGCTCCAGGAGAAATTGTGTTACGGCAGGTTTAATTTTTATTATAATAATAATTGGCATTTAAGGGGTTGAAATATAAAACATGTTGGTAGGGGTATGTGGGCAGTTGGTAAATCTGGAAGGGTACGTAATAAGAACAAGTTTGGGAACCTCTGCCATAGAGCGGTTCAGGGTATTCTGAGCGCATAAGATATCTGATTGCTGTGCTCAGCTTTGGCACACATTTTATGTGATGGTATTCCAACTGATTTCCCAGCCCACCCACATTTTTCACCAGGTAGCCTGTCTATCAGACTTAGAAGTTTCTGGGGGAGGTTTTTGAACCAAAACTCTTCCTTCAGGTATAATCCTGCCTTTGAGCTGGAGTTGGAAAAATTGACCTCTTGATTTAAATATGCATTTGGATTGTTCAGTAGAGGAGAAGGGAACCTTAATGATCTATGGCTTCTAAGCAAGGAGTCAAAACAAACTTGGTGAGATGTTGCTCCCCAAAAAAGGACAGTCTCTAAACAAAATAGCAAAAGATGGGCAGCTGCAACTCTAACCCTGTCTGGCCCTGGAACTCTAACATTAATGGGACTAGGATAATAATAGGACATCGATCCTAACATTCATAGGACTAGAATAGGATATATACATAAATGGATCAGGTCCTGATGTCCCACAGCCTTTTCAGGATCAGCACCCAAAAGAATGAAATAAAGTGTCTTTTGTTGCCACACCCTACTCAGTGGTGGCCATTTAAAAAACAGCTACCATGTAACATAAGACAGTTTATACAGAAGGAACAATAATCTCTGCAAAATGACCAGCTAGAAGAAGTGCTCTAGACCAGTGGTGGGCAGATCTGGCTACTGCCTGGGCTCCATTTCCCAGCAGCCCTTGCCCATGTTGCTGCAGCCAGTTTCCATGGAGACCCCAAGAGCATCAAGGCAGTGACAGCACGGGCCAGGGTTTCCATGGAGACCAGCCCCAGCAGCGCTGACAGGGCGCACGGCTGGGTGGGGAGCTGCTTCTGGGACGGGGCTAGGATCTTGAGGTGGTGACAGGGTGGTCCAGTGCCAGGGCAGAGCCATGATCCACTGCCTGTACCTCCCACTGGGGCAGAACTGCAATTCACTGCATGCATACAGATGTGCAGGGCTGCATAGGCAGCAGATTGCAGCTCTGCCCCAGCTCCAGACCACACTGTCACCACCACAAGATCCTGGACCCAGAGCAGCTCCCTGCCCAGCCTCCTGCCCAGCCAGCACTGCTGGGGCTAGTTTCCATGGAAACCCTGGCCCCTGCTGTCACTGCTCTGCTGCTCCTGGGGTCTCCATGGAAACCAGCTTCTGCAACGTGGGCCAGGGCTGCTGGGAAATGAAGTCCGCTGTAGTCCTCATCCGGCCTGCAGGCCAGGCTTTGCCTGCCCCTGCCCTAGACAATCAGTTGGATTTCCTGGCTGGTTTAAACAGGTGAACTTCCACTGACTTTAGGGGAGCATTACCTTTTCATATTAACAGTGATTATGGTGTAAACATTAGTTCAGTGCACTGATTAGATGTTCTACAGAACTGATACCAGCAAGGTACCTAAAAACAATACACCATTTCCATGGAATCTGATTATTTTAGCTGGAATAAGTGGAGCAGCATATGAGAGAGGACAAAAATTTACAAGAGCTGCTTAGTAGTCAGGAAACGCATTAAACCAAAAGGACATTAACTCTTCCTCCTAAAAACTTATTGTACATATTAGTTCCATACACATTCTAAAGGTTCATCATGATTAGAAAAAAAACTGTCCCCAATCCTAATAAAATAAATGATGCACGTTTCCATATACAAACCTAAAATGCCAAGTGCATGATGAAACTAAAATCTGTGTAAAGCAAGGCGTATACGTTGCTTCTATGTTCTACCAACACAAAATAGCAAACACAAGAGCTTATCGAAAGACAAATGTCAGAGCCACCATCAAAGAAAGCAGAAGTAAATCTAACAGGCATTTCACTTATCTGATTTGACGGACAATTCTCCCTGCTCTCCTCGCAGTGCCAGAATAGCTCACAGTATTAAGATAACTTAAACTGCTGCCTAGTTTAATAAATCCTGGCAGTCTTTACAACCAGGGATCAGGTAGTAATCAGATCAAGTAGCATTTCCAAACTATTGGTATTTCCTTTGCAACATGCAACAACCAGACTAAAGACTGGCAGATATTGTGTTACCACAAATCGTGTTTAATGAGAAAAAGTACCAGATCATTTGATATAATGGTTTCTAACATAATTTATTAGAATAAGAAAAAAGAAGCAGTGGGCCTATATATTAGAAAGAGGCTGTTTTTCTTTTCTTAACCAGTAGCTATTGACAGGGTTGTTTTTGGGAGAGGGGTGGACCTGCTTGACACTAATATCAGTATAAAATAAACCAGAAGGTGACAACAAAGAGGTCTATTTGGTGGCTCTTAAATAAACATTCCAACTAAGTCAATGCAGCCACATGCAGCAGTAGGGGCTGTGCAACTGGTCGCAAAATAGCCAATAAAATTTAATTTTGGAGAAAAACAAAGAAAGGAAACTAGCACGTGGTAGCAGATGAATGAAAATGAAATTAAGCAAAAAAACTGTCCCAAAACACTAAACTGGAAACACAATAGATATTAATTGGCCCTGACCTCAACTGACCCAGATTAAATTGCAGTTATTGCAGGTGAACACCCCATAAATCAGAAACATTAAAGCCTAGATGAGGATTATGTATAAAGAGTGAGGGGATTATGATAGGAATCCATTCTTAGTTTAGTGAGTAGCAAAGTCTGGTTTCCAGATAAAAGAGAATTGCCTGTGATGGCTTGATACAGCTGAAAAGAAACTGTGCAAGCAGGCTAGTTTAGGATGAAAAAGATATGAAAACTGGAGGCAGTAAAGTGATGCCTTCCTACACAGAGCAAACAAATATTACTGGTATATGCGCATGTGTAATAAAAACATGTTCTTTTCTAAATGAGTTGCAGTTTGTCATATTTTTGTTTTAACTACTTGCTTTCAATACCAGTACACAGCTTTCCAGAATCCCTTCTAGTTCCTTGCTGTCAACATATATATTTTTCATGTATGTTGGTTGTTTGCTTGATAATGTTTATAAAGAGCCTCAGTAAGAGACAATACACTTTAAAAATAGGGAAATAGAGAAATGCATGCACAAAAAGCTATGTTTCCCTCTCCATATTGTTAATAGTTTATGCAGTTTATCAATCCAGCCCAATTGGGGAATAACAAGTGAATGTGCATCCCAACTGCCAGTCAACCTCCTCTTGGCCCTGATTCAAGAAAGCACTCCAGTTCAGGATCCCACTTACATATCTGCTTAAGTTTTACTGAAGTCAATTGGATTTATGCACATGCTTCAAGTTAAGCACATACTTAAGTGCCTTCCTGAATACAGGCCATTGCGCTTATTGTACTTGTTCCAATTAACCCATAAGATTTTGGTTTCCAAACACAAGAATAGAAACAGTGTGTTTATGCACTAAATGCAAGTGTGATCAGATTTGTCTCTAGTATGAAGATGCTTGATGACTATTATGGAACAATGCAGGGACACAGCTGTATATAATATATACACACACATACATGTCTACACTCTGAAAAATACTGTTCAATGTTGAAGAAATAGTCACCTTTGTTTGGATCAATGCTGTGGTAGATTATTTCTGTAGCACAGTGTCCAGAATAACTGAACTGTCCATCGGAGAGTACACAGTTCCTTTGAATGGCACACAGTCATTATGACAAGTGAGCACTATTCCGCACCCAGTGAAGTCCTTGTTGAGTATACTGAACTAAATGCTCCATACTGCTGTGCAAGGTGACAGGTCCCATCAATGCATCCAAGTCATTAAAAAAATCTATGGAAAAATATTAAACACAGGGATCAGGAAGTTGCATTTGCTTTTTATCACCATGTGATTTTTTTTCAGTACTTACAACACATGGAACAGTTTATGAAAATGAAAATTTAGTCCTATGATCCTGTGAGTTCTCCACACCCATTTTCATTTTAAAAGCAGAACAGCTAATTCTTTGTTTCTGTCTTCCACTAAAGTCAGTTTATCCTATGTACAAAGGGATTATTTGCTATGTGTTTCCTCATAAACAGACATTAGTTCTAGCTGAAAATGATCCTATCTGAAAAATGAAGAAGAGTTAAGTGAAGCAGGGCAGGCCAAGTCCTCAAGTGTTTACTCAGGCAAGTTCTTATTCAGCTCATGGGACTGAAAGCTTGTTCCCCTTTAATTCTGGAAGGGGGTTCCTCCATTTGGCATATTCCACCTACCTCTCATCCCATACAAGCTCCTTTAAACCTCCCTCAGGCAGCTCCATGAAGCTGGAGGAAGTGAGGAATGGAAACTTCCTTGAGTTCAAGATATTCTCCTTAAAACTCGTGGAACACATGGAGTGCATGTACATCTCATCCTGCAGCTATATTGTTAATTTATGCAATTGTCTCTGCCATGCTGAGGGTGGATTCTGCATGAACTAGCATTGGAAAAGCTCCTGGAATCAGGCTCTTGCCACGGCTATGATGAGCAGAGGCTAGCTGGGGTGGGCAAGGCCAAGTGACAGCAAGCAGCATTCCTACTGTTTGCTTAAGCCAAAGGGGGTGCGTCTACACACATACTTTACTGCAGGGTTGACTAACTAGCTCCACAGTAAAGCATCACAATCTACATGTGCACCAGTATTAAGGTGCAGTAAATTAATTAACTCTGCAATAAGACAGTACTGCAATTAAGTGTGATGGAAAGTGTAGATGGTGACAAATGCTAGCTGGGGTACAACAGTGCTAAAGTGTGGGGGCTGTCCATTGCCTGGCCCCACCGCTTTGCAGGTTCTGAGCCCTTGTGCCCCAGCCAGCTCCTCTGCTGCTTGATGCCATCACTTGGAGCCTGGGGCTGCTCCACCCTGGTTCAAGCTGCTGCTGTCCTGGGCACATGTGTAGACGCTGCACCCAGGAGCAGCTGACTGGCTCAAACAGCTCTGGAGTTTATTGTATCACATTAATTGAACATGTAGATTCATCCATAGAGGAAGCAAAGCTGCTTTTTTCCCCAACCAACTTTAAACCCATTTAAAGCCTATATATTTGTCCTGTATGTATGCCCTGTTGCCACATAAATACACCAAGGGCCAGATCCTATTTCATTTTATGCCCCTAAATAGCAGTTATCTAGTAGTCTAAGTGATGCACTAGGCACTTATGTGCAGCTTGAGATTCTATTCCATGTACAGTGTGGATATAGGCATCCACACACCCACAGAGCATGCTTAGTAGGGCTGTGTTCTGACTGGACAGGTTCGTGGACTGCTGTATGCTTACATTGGTAAGCACATAAGTCTTGAAACAGTAGCTGGGCAAAACCCAGTGACAAGAAGGTATTAGATGGAGGGCCCTCTCATATTTTAGCTCAATAACCCAGTGGTTTGGGAACACACAGGAAGTGGGAGACCCAGGTTCTAGGTCACCTCCTCACCTAGAGGAGCTTTGAATCCACATTTTATGCTTTCTATCATTATGAAAAAACCACCAGTTGGCATTATCTAGTCCTCCCCTTGAAAATAGGGGAGGACTAGATAATCTACAGCCAAGACAGCAAAATACATGAAGCCAAGGTGAAATAGCGAAGAGGGTAGATGCTTTTATGGGATGGGGCCTTGGATCCTAGCCCTTACTCTCAACAGGGCAGAAACTTCCTTTTTTTATCTATGCATTGTATTCAGTGAATATTAAGTACAGTGAAGCGAGTTAAAGAGGAGGGTTACAGAGGTGCTTGGATAATGCCTAACATGGGGCCTGGTGGTTTGCGCACTGTGTGTAAAGTCAGAGATACAAGTTCAGGTGTCCTCTAGAAGAAGGAGGCCTAGAACCTGGATCTTCTATTATGTGGGTGAGTACCTTAAACATGGGGCATGGGAGGCCACCCTCTTCCACCCCCATTTGTTTCTGGCAAGTATGTGGGTAGCTGTTCAGCATGATTCCCAGGCTGTGTGTAAGTGCCAAAAATGACACTTACGCATCTGGGTAGCTGCCATTTTGGGATGTAAAATGAAATAGGATTTAGCCCCAGCTCTAACTCTCCATGTAAGATATAAAGAATACAATAGGACTAAAACCACAGGTATTTACTCAAAGTCAAGGTGCTCTGAAGGTGATATCCCACATGTTCACAGATAAGTTCTGTGTTCAAGACATGCACAAATATAAGGTTATGTAGGAGTTAGCCTAAAAAGGGAATACTAGCAAAGTAGTCCGGGGTGCTCAACCTCTGGCCCACAGACCAGATTTGGCCTGCAAAGCTGTGTTAGCCAGCCTGCAGGACTCCCCATAGGTCCAGGAATTTGGTGGCAGGGAAGCAGTGGAACGAATTGCCACTCACCTGTTGCCAAATTTCCAAACCCACTGGGAGCCCCACAGGCCAGATGACAGAGACCCTGAGCACTAGATCACTGGTCTGGGGCAAGGTTGGTGTATGGGGGCACTGTGAGACAAGATCTGGTATATGAGATTGGGTTGGTGTGCTGGGTCACAACCATGGACTGACCCATGCATGGGATCCAGCCTGTGGACTGTCCCCATGCCAACTGTCCAGTCCATGGGTCAGAAGGTTAAGCACCACTGATGCAGTCTATAAGTTTTCTCTTGTAACAGTAGAATGTGAGACCAAAGAGAACCATTCCTATAGTTCTGCAATGAGACACCACAATCCTCTTTAGGAAGAAGAGAATTTGCTCAGAAGATCATCAGTTTAATTCCTGTTAGTCTGACTGCCATATGTCTAGAGTGTCTCGGGAACACAGGGAGACTTGAGCAGCCAAAGAGACAAAATAGTGAGAGGGTGCTGCTTCAGAGTGGGAAGGCAGATAAACAGCTTTTTGCTACATTTTGAGACAGACCATGAATAAGGTGAAAAAATACAACTCTGGAAAGAATCACTGTCAAAATAGGTCAACAATTTGTCTTGCTAAAGCCAGATTCTGCTTGTACTCTGCTCAGGTAGATGTACTTTAAACATAGGTTGGTATGTTGGATTACGTACCTCTGTTTTCCTTGGCCAGATTGTCAGCCATCTCCCAGTAGTCATAACTGTGCAGGATGCTGTTGGTGATGCTGACATGATTGGCAGCCATCTGATGAATACGCTGGGGAATGCTGATGATGGAGGAAGGGGAAGGGGCACCAGTGCTCCCCTGGGATCCTACAGAGCTGACTGGAGAAGGACTTGGGGACATGGGGGATGGAGTTCCTGTGCTCCTGCAACAAAGTATTAAAATGCATACCTGCACGTGAGGATGACATAGATAAACACATATGAACTATTACAATATGCTACATAGGAGCAAATGCTATTTCTCACTGTTATTCAGATATAGTTTCTGGGTGAAAATTGAACTTACTTTCCACTGGCACCCCAAGGGGATGGGGCCTGTGCAGCTTTTGATGAGTTCTGCGGAGGAAAAAAAATGACAAAGAATATAAATTTAAATAAAACTGAAAGGAACAACACAAACAGCATAGAAAGTTGGGCAGAAAAGGCTGAGGTGATGTGTGTGGACAGTGTATTTGTGTCTTTTGATTCTGTAAAGCCATTTGGACTAATTCAGAAGTGGTGCAGGCAGTGATAAGATAAATCTCCTTAAGTTCTGCTGGAGTTCTTTAAAGCAGAGCTGATACTTCTGAAAGAAGGTGACTTGTGACCTGGCCAACTACACCTGGCCAGTTGTGCATTGAAGAAATAATTCCTTCCTTCCTGACTTCTGCAGGCAACAAGTTGAAGTACTGAGAGAGAAGACTGGACCATAATCATCTTATTGCAGAGTGAAAGATTTTTTAAGCATGTTGAGAACTAGGCAGCTTCCTCTTCTCCTCAGGGCCCAAGAAAGATGTGGAGATAATCTGGAGACTTCAGAGATTCAAGGTCTGTAGGGGACACTGTGAACATCTAGCCAGCCTCTCTTTTTCTAGTAGTGGTCCTAAGAATACTGTGAAAGATAATTTCTTTACTTCTATTAAGTTTCCCATGTCTATACTTATGAGCAACAGGCTCTTCCAAGATGGAGCTTTCTCTGTTTTCATTTTCCACCCCAAATTTTGGAAAGTTTAGTTTTAATTCTGTTAGGGAATGACACAAAACAGTGAAACCCTTAAAATATACAATACTTGTATTCTGGCCAGCTCCTATTTCAGAGCTACTTACATCTATCTTTCTGAAGTGTAAGGGGAGCTAAGGGTATGTAACTTATTGATCTAGGAGCTGGAAAAAAGTGGAAAGGTGAAAGTTAAAGTACAGTGATGCGTTCTTACAATTGAAATTTAAATAATCTGTCATACTTGAATTATACACCTTTTTCAAGCTCCTTGGAACAAAAATCATAGCAGTATAGTGTCAGGCATCAGGAAGGTGGGGTAGCCCATTGCTATTGATTCATCTGTAGGCTTTGTTCTACTTTCCTGAACTGAACTGAACTGAATTGAATTTCTTATGTTATTAAAAATCTCTAACCCCCTTGAATATTTAACATTTTAAAATTCTTCAGTGCATTAATTTTTTTTGAAGATCAAAACAAAATGTTAAACAAGAACTTGAAATAATCGTATTTCTTTTTAAAAAGAAAAATGCATCTATCCCTGAAACTGTCTTTGACAAGTTTTAAACTCTTTCCACAAGTGATAGTACATATGGAAGTTCTTTAATGTAGTCAGTATTTTATATCACTTGGTTTTGAAAGACTTTACATACAAATATATGAAACGAATGTAGTACTCGCTATTTTCCACTGCAGAAGATGGCAAATGGATTTTTTTAAACTTTAACTTCAAAAGCAAGAATACTTTCTAATGTGAATCTACAGTATCATTGTATCAGCAGGAGCCCTGCAAAATAAAAAACCTTTCTTGTATGAAGTTAATGTGACTACTGCAAAATGTAAGCACCATTTTTCCACTGTGTAGAATTTTTTTTATACTACTGAGAGACATTTTACTTGGCTGAGAGATGGAACATCCAACTTTTGTGCAGGCATTCTTTGAATTGGTAGGGAAAAGTATTACAATATTTACCTATTTTTCACAGCTAAAATAAAGAAATTAGGTAGAGAAGCAAAACAAGTTTAGTTGTGTGTACATAATTCAGTTTTTAGATGCAACTATGGTGATAATATAGGATATGTTAGATTTTTTGTCTATTTTATGATTTAGTCATGAAAACTTATTCTTATATTTGGAACTTTTCATCAACAAGGTATCTGAATTTGGGAAGAAAGCCTCTTAAATAAAGATAAAAAGAACATGACCACATGACTACTCAGAATTTCTAAAGTGAATATATGGTCAGAGTTCTTTGACTTTGAAATCAAACTGAATGCTGGAAACAGTTCAACTCTATTTATTTTTCATTCATGTATTATTATTATTTTTTTTAAAGAAATACAGGTCATCTTTATGTTTATAGGCCCAAAATTTGACTGACTTTGGTATAGGTCCCATCTGGAAATTTCTGTTTTCCAGATATTTTCTAATCAAATATTTCCAGTTCAGGGCAAACAAATTTGAAATATTGCATGACGTTCTGTTATATTCAAACTAAGCAGCAAGTACAGTCTTCTGAGAGCACAGAGAATGGAGAGGAGCCAGAGGGGAAAACAAAACAGGAAGCAGAGCCAGGCAGTGTTGTAAGGTACATCAACACAAGACACTACATTGCTATAGTGATGACCTATAGTGACGTAGCATCAGTGGGCATGAACCACGATGCTCAGTAGCTCATTGCTACTGCGCAGTAGGGTCAGAAACAACTAGTGCCACTGGGTCTGTGCAGTAACGGTGGTTACTGTGCGGTCATTTAGTACTTTAGTACTGAAGTAAGTATTAAATGACTGTGCAGTAACAATTGTGCAGCCAGGGGCACATGTATACATATCCAGAGGGTCCTAACAGGCTCATATGCAAGTCTCAGAGCTGGCTGCCAATACCTTCGTGGTGGGTGTACTCTGAGATTTTCTGCCTGCTCAGGTCCTCAGTGGGAAACCCTACAGCTTGTTCCATAGACTGCTTTAGACTGAAATCCTCAAGCCATGTGAAATCAAGAGCAAGGTACAACCTTCAAATAGATTCTTACCACGAATGCCATAAAATCTATTCTGAGCAGAGCTAACAGCACTGTAAAAAAACACTGGGAGATCAACAAAAAAGGGAGAATGGTCTGGATGTATCTGTTTCATGGCACAGCAAGTTGGTCTTTCCTCATTACATTGTAAGGTGTGTATACTAGATACCTGTGCCATTGTGAATATAGCATGTAAATTACCTGCTTCCACTTAAGCTCTTAAGTGACTAGGTTACACTTTAGAAAAGATGCAGTATTTCATTTTAGCTATCTTAAAACATGTCATAAAACAAGAAAGTACCTTGAAATATTCAATAAGTGCTTTTGAATACTTTACAGCATGGTCTCTTTTGAGTCGGAACATTCTCCAGTACAGAAGGGCCAAGCAGCGGAAACTAGAGTAGAAAGAGAAAACTCAATGTAAAAGGCATCTGGAATAATTAAACTGAAAATCAGTGGAAAGGTGAACTGAGATTCTGGTGCTGATTATTATGATCATGCTTGATTCTACACATAATTGTCCACATCTTTCTAAGCGTTAGTAAGGTTCCTGTAAGGTAGATCCTGAAAACTCTACAGATTATGTTAGTCTACACATTGCCCAGCTTGTAGTAAATTCACTGCACAGAACTGTCTGCAGGATCAAACATTAAGCTTCACTCCTGCAATGAGTTCTGTGCAGTTGACTGAGGGGGTCTGCCAATGAGATTCCCACTGCAGGCTGAGACCAAAGGGTTTCAGTTTTTTGGCATAAGCATAAAGGTGGCCTTTGTGGTTCTGTATCCTGGAGCTATAAGGCTATAAGGTCAGTCTGTGGAGGAAATTAGAGTAACATTGGGTCTCCTTCATGTCAGATGTCCACGCTCCTGCTGGACTCTTTCAGCAGTTGGAGATTGTTAGGGAACAGTGGTGTCCTACATCTGCCCACATTTCCCTGTGTGCCTTTACTGGGAGCAACATAGGTGGTACAGATGCCTCTCAAGGGATACCAGACTCCCTGATGATTCTCCTGCACAGGAGTTATCTTCAGATGATAGAATAAGTAGCCTGAACAGAGGGGAGGATCTAACTAACTGTCTCTAATTTTTCTGTGATATGCCATGCACTTTTTAATGCCGTACACATGAAAAACTGTAACACTAATTGACATGACTTAAACATAACAACAACACAATACTTGATCACAAGCACTCCAAGATTACAAAATCTTTTATTTTCTATTTTGGATTTCTATGTAGTCCACCTATGTTTATTTTTTCCTTAAAGGATATTTGGTTCAAAACTAAGAATTAGTCTTTGCTATGATATTTTTAAACCAAAGTACAAGATCACTCAACTGTGGTTGTATCTACATGAGACACTGGCTGCGCAGTTGTTACCACGCAGTCATTTAGTACTTGCATACCCAAGTACTAAATGAGTGGGCAGTAACTGGCGGTAGTGTCCCCACACAGCTTCGTGGTGACGTCAACTATACAGTAGTTCGTTATTCCTGCACAGTACCGCCATATCATGGTTCATGCCCCATGACGCTGCTGTGCAGTAGTAATGAACTACTGCTCAGGAGTAACAAGCTACTATGCAGTAAGTGTCTTAGGTAGACACAGCCTGTATGTAACAAATAAAAAACCTGCAGAACTTTATCCACTTGGTCACAGAAACTATGTTCAAGGATTACTAATGATTCTGGGTGCCCAGGGAGACAAGTAGAAAGGGGCTTGAATTTTGCAAGTGCTGAGTTCTCACCCTCTGAAAATTTCACTCCTTTTAAATGTCTTGCGGAGCCAATTTGGGCAACCAAAAAAATCAAATCAAGGCCTTCAAAATTACCAACTACTTTAAAAACTCAAGCAGAGTTATTAAAACTCACTTTCACTCTGTTTTCCCTCTGAAATCAGCAACCTTCATAAGCTGAAATTTACCTCTTTTACCACTTGAGGGAAGTCTTTCCCTAGGAGATCAGAATGAAATGCAATAGTTCTGTGGCACTATGCCCAGTTTGCATTGGATGTAGTGGGAGGATACAATAGACTTAGAGTCATCATAATTCTCACTCTGTCACCTTCACAGGTACAGTACATATGCAAACGATGCCAGCTCATCTGCTATGTGGCAGACGGTGAGTTAGGGTTGCTATTCATTGCTGAAGGAATACTCATCTCCTTTCCCTCACTCTGACCTTTTCTGTTCAAGCAGATGCAGTGACTTTATATATTTGGATTAAATTCCACACACTAAAACACTATGTCAGTTCTGGAAACACTTTATAAAATAGATAGGGTCATTTTTTAACCATTTGTACCTGTTTTTACATTTACACATTCTTGAAACAATTATTGTTAATCTACCAATGCACCCAGCTGCATGCCAGAACAGTGACAAAGGAGAGAGAGATATTTTAAAACATGTATTTAATGATACTTTGTTCATTTTATATAGAATGATTAATTAAGAGTTTTTACTTACAGATTCTAAAACCACATTTAGTTTGTATTTTAACAGATGGCTACTAGAAGTTAAAAATATACCAGCTGATTGTAAAAAACCATTTACTGAGAATCAATAACCATGTAATTGGTACTTCATGTATTAGCTGTATAGCTGTTAACATTTAAGTTTAATGTTAATAACATTTTTTTTATTAATGTTCAGCCTTATAAAGTCTAAATTAAATGCATATATCTGGAAATTTTAAATCAGAGACTTAATCCAAATTGGTTAATTATCAACACAATAACCCCTCATTTAATATAAGTATAATTTATGATGACTGAACCTAACATGTAAGACAAAAGAAATTACTGAGATACTGTTACAATTAAAGTAATTCAGTCATAAAATGAAAGACCTGCAGGCACTTAAAAACTGGTTACATTGAAACACAACTCACCTGTTATAGCCAATAAATATGAATAGTTTATTTACACAAACAGAATGCAGACCAGCCACAGTAATTTAAGTTGAAAAGAGATGACATTGGGAGCAGGAAGTATTCTCCTGGTGTCAATAGATGACATAAAAACCCCTATCAGACTGCAGTCAGTATCTGATTTTCAAGGACTGACTCACTGCATAAAAGAAGGCTTTTGAGGAAATATTGATCTACCAACCATAATGCTGCGAGCTGTTTGTCCTCCGGAGTGGCGTTAGGGCCTGAGTGGGTTTTTAGTCTCACAGCATACCTTTAAGAAAGGGGAAAAGCCAATGTGAGTTAACAGGAGACCACTTTCTATTATTGAGTGTGCTCCTTATGGAGCTATGCTGATTCATACCATTTGGAGATCTGCCCTATTACATTTACTTTCTTAGTTATCATGAATTGATAAGTTTCTACTTTTCATCTTGTGCTTCAGAGCTATTCTATTAGCTCTGCTTTCTTGCTCTTTTCAAGCAGCAGTAACTCCTTTAGATGTCTTTCTGCTCCCTACCTCTCCCTATGGTGTCATCTTAAAATCTTTTCTCCTGCTGGGGAGAACCCCAACTGCAGGGAGTCCATTCAAAAAGGTTTCCACTGTACTTGAGGGCAAAAGGCGGCATGGCACAGAACTAGTGCTCTAATACTGTCCTCATATGGCATATTTTTCAGTTTGTCTACCCAGGTTTGCTCCTTCAAGCACAGCAGAAGGGAGAATGTGGCTCAGACTATTTTGGTCATACAACATTACATTCAAATTCTATAAATATTAAAAGCCTACAGTAGTAGCACTGCTGTTGCAATAATGTGTGCGCTATCTAGTCACAAATCAGTTCCTGGAAATATCAACTTTCAGTTGAATACTTGAGCAGTGAATAACATCAGCATAGCATATAATACTTCTGGGCTTGCTTCCAGAAGAATACCTGTTTCCTGTAATTAGTTGATTGGATTTCATCTTTATCTTGGTTTCCAAACTCTTACTTTGACATCAGTACAAATATTTTTGTGTGAATATTTTTCTTTCTCCAAACATTCATGACTAACCAGATCCGTTTTTGGACCACAGCTAGCAAGCAGATAAATAATTCACTTAACAACTACACAACGCTCACTGTTTGCATATATGGACATCCAAGCAAAATTCAGTTCCAGAATTACAGCCATAAAAACACTGTGGCTAGGGAAAGAAGTTACACATAACTGGGATAAATGATCAGAAACTGGTTAAAATCTGTAACACAACACAAGTTCAGTGCACATAAACTACTTTCAAAATGGCTAAAAATGGTTTAAGATAAACCTGAATGAATGTAACATCAGACTTAACTGATCTAGGTTAAATTTATTGAATTTCTGTCCTAGATCCTCTCCACATTCAAGTTAACTCACAGTCCCCCAGCATCCCAGGATGCTTTGCAACACCCCTGCAAACCACTCCCCAACAAGGAGGGCAGGCTAGTTTTGGCCCAAATTGTCTGTTCCAGCTGTGCAGGGAGATGTGCTCTAGCGCCCTCTAGTTCTGGGCCGAGCCACTGCAGGCATGTGGCTGCATTTCCAGAAACAAAAGTGAATGTCTGTCACATGCTTATTGGTTTAATTTACGCAGTTTAGACTAACCTGTGAAGACAGAATCTATTCAGCCTCAGGCTCTGCACATTAGACTAATCTAATGGGCAGTAAGGTGTCACCATCTACATGTGAATAGCAATTAGATACAGGTACTAGAAAATGGCACATTAAACTAATGTGCCAAAGTGCATGTGTAGATGATGACTGGGAGCAAATTGCTCCTGGTTGACCTAGATGTGTCCTGATCTCCATGGGTCTGGGAAAGCTACAACAGACATTAACAGGCCATTAACAGGCTCTGCACCCTGCTGCAGGCAGGGGGAGCTCCAGGCCCCCACAGGTGCCAGCCCCTACCTGCTCTTGGGGCAGCCCTGATCTGCACAGGGAGGGGGAGCTGTCCCAGTTTGGAGGGGCAGCTCCCTGCCAGCCATAGCTATTTCAGGTAGTGCACACTACTTCCACATGTGCCACCCCACTTTTTTGCCATGGGTTCTTTAATACTGGATTCTCCTGGTGTCAAAAAACCCCACTGCGTTGCAAATTAACAGCATGGAAAATGCCTGCATGTGTGGTGTGTGCAGTTTGCAGCACCACAGACAGATCTGCAATTCCAGAAACTGCACGTGCATGCTTGTCTGGACGCACCCAGTGAGGCCTGGGTAAGAACTGATCACCAAATGGTCGAAACTCCATAATTACATTAACAATTGCTTGAATCACGTAGGCTGCTCTAAATGATGAACTGGCTTTGTAAATATTCTTCTCTCTAATATCGGCCCATGTATAAAGGCATTCTCGTGTGTTCATTTGTCAGTGTGGAAGAAACTTACTTATACTGAGTGGAGAAAATACCCAACCCCCATTCTTACCTGATAAGTTCAACTGTTTCTGAGTACATTGTATAAGGGGATTTAGATTCCATGGGACCTTGTTCCATAGCATTTCCACATTCAATAAATGACAGTGCTGCTTCAGCATAATTAAGTGCCTTTCCAAATTTCTCCACCTTGTAGATAAAATAAGGACACAGAAATACTGAAGTCACCACACTATGGTTACAAATGTAGGGATCTTAGAACAAACTACGCATAGATAAGGTTAACTCAAGCTGATGTGAAATGGACCGTCAAAATCCAGAAGACTTACAAATATTGAAAAGAGGAAGGAACATTGTAAGAGAGAAAATCCTGAAGTCAAAGAAATTTATGAATAAAGTTGAACAAATATGTATGGATAATTTAGGAATAGAAGCTGCAGAAGAATCAGAGCCAAAACAGAAAAAGAAAAAAATATTACAATCCAGTAAGCATATAACTTGCCATGCTCATTTTAATATATCTTTCAATGTAAAACAAAGCAAGGTAAGGATTAGCTTGTAACTAGGACAAATCAACAGCAAATATTGAAAACTTTTTGGGCTCTTGCTATAGGGTTAAAGGAAAATAAACAGGGGATGCATCTAAACAAGATGCTTTACTGCTCATTAAGCTAATCTAATGCACAGTAAAGTGTCTACCCATGTGCAGCAATTACTGTGCAGTAGATTAGTCTAATGCACTATTTTCTAGTACCTGTAGATACAGCTAGAAAATTCAGGTGCATTAATTGCATATGAAGCTGCACCCAAGGAGCCTAAGATCTAGAAAAAGATAGAGATGGACCTTTGGGTGAGATTACACATTACAATTAGACCATATTAAAAGAACTTAAAACTTGAATGATAACCCATTAAGGCTTGTTAACAAGTGCTAAGTGCCCTCTAGGTGTCTTAAAACTGTGCCACCTAGGGTGAGGATTATCTTTCAATTGTGCTACATAGCTAGAGTTAAATTAACTTCTGGGTGTTCACCTGGGATAAAAACACCACTTTGCAGTCCTCCAGTATCCCAGAAGGCACTGTTTCCAGGTGGATTAGCTATCATCCATGACGCTATGGTCCTGGACTAACAGCTGGGCGAAAGATTGATGGGGATAGGGTGAATAGGGAGGGAGGGAACAGGGGTGAAGGGGGCATGGGAAAGGGGTGAAAGGGGAGGCAGGAGAGACAGGGGGTAGGGGGATGGGGGAGCAGATGGGTGGAGAGTTGCTGAGCTTCTGCCCCCTCTGTCCTCCAAATTTCCCCCCACTTTT